TTCTTCAACCTGGGGACTCTGTAAAGTTCACCCCTTTCCTCTGGGGAGCACCTACATCTCTCTACTGCCCAGGTGTCCAAACTCCTCTCAGGTATTCTGCCACCTTCCTGTCTGTCTCCTTGCTTCCAGAGATCCTTTGAGTGAGCCCAGCTGCCGCTGGAAGCTCTATAGATCCAGCCCACATATCTGTCTCCAGTGCCCACCCCACACCAACTTCCCAGTAACTCATCTGCCAGTTAAGGACCTTGAAAAAGCTGGAATTGTTCATCAAGTTGAAGCAGTTTGAAGGCACTGCGGGCACGCCAGCCATTCTCCTTGGCCAGGCGGTAGTAGACATCTCGCTTGTCCTTCGACGTCCGTCCCATTTCACACACAGTTTGCCCAAGGACTGCCAACAACCAGCTGATGTTGCCCAGTATCCGTAACCAGGTGAGTGGGATACCACCTAGCTCTGCAGGGTGGAGATAACCACACAAACCAAACTGCTCTCATCTGACTCATGCAATGATTTATTCAGCAGATGGGTCAACTGAAACCCTGGAATTGACCCCACTGACTTTATAGGGCTTGAAGGACCCTATCACTGAGCTTACAGGCTCCACAGTTCATCACACAGATCCCCCTTCCTCCATCACTTACCTCACAGTTTATACTAAAGACCCCACAAACCCAACACTTATCCCATCAGTGACCTGGTCCACTTCCCAACTCTGTCACCCACACGCCACACATTAAACCCTGTTACACTCCCACCATCAACCCTTCTTTGTCCACCTTATCCCCATTAACATCTCAGTGACACTTCCCCAGTTGTCCCCATTGTCCCTAGACTCATATGGCCCTATTAGCCCAACTAATTCCTTTTGACTCCCATTATCCTAATACTACCTCATTGTACTCCCCAGCCCCTTAGATTCTGTCCACCCCATTCCCCATTAATCCCTAAAATGATCAGGTCCCCAGTAATTCTTATATTGCTATATCGTTATCAACCCCTATTAATGCCTGTAGCTCCCCATAAGTGCTCGATTACTGATTTATAAGTCCCCATTAGCTCAGCCCTCCTACTGACCCCTCATAGACCACTCCACTAGCCCTGTGACCCCTTCATTAATACACAGTCCTGTTACTCTCTCATGATCACACTTCAGTTCCCCATTTTCCACTCACTGTGCCCTCCACTGCTTGAACACCAGATAATCACAGTCCCAACAGCTTACAGTTCTCTCCTTGCTCACTCAGTCCCCATTAATTCCTTGATAGTCCTATAGCTCACATTAAGTTTTTGACTACAATACCCTATCAGCTTCTCATTGTCTCTTCTTTCATCACTACTCCCATTAGTTCCTTGATCTCGATCTCCATCCTTCTCTATATTCCCTTGATAGCCTTGCCATTTTCCTTTCAATTACCATGCCCCATTGCTCCCCACTAACCCGTTGTGAGTTATACCGCCATGGATCCCTTGGGCATCACGCCTCCATCCACCTCTTATTATATTCCAGATAGCCACTCCACCACTTCCTCATTAAGCAATCCACCTATTATATTCTAGATGCTAACTCTACCACCTCCTCATTAATCAATCAGTGAACATATCCCCAACAGGCCCATGAACATGTCGACTAAAGCACTTTTATCAGCCCCAATTGATTATCTAGTAACACTTCTCTTGACCTCCGTTATTCTTGTGGTCAACCCAGCTTTCCATGAATAGCCAGCCCTCCTACCACAACCCTGTCCCTCCTCATTAATACCTCAAAAACCATGGCGCCATTGGGACCACGGACACGTGGACCTCTGCGACCCCCAGCCCGCCCTCTGAGCCCACCCTGAATATTGGTCCTCTTCTGCTGGCAAACCTTGGGAGTTCTGGAGCCCATCTGGTGCTAGCCGCCCGGACTATGAAGCTGCAGCACAAAGGGCGGACCTCCCTCCTTCCCCTACTGGCGGGACAGAGCAGGTGTGCCTTACAGTCTCAGCCTGGATCCGCGTCCTCCGCGCTCCAGGACTCACCTTAGCTTTCGGAACCGGGGGAGCCAGAGGAAGGAGGTTGGTCTGCTAGCAGCCGAAGCCTGGGCGAAATGGCAAACACAAGAGAAATCGCAGGGCTTCAGTTTGCGTTCGTGTCTGACCCGAACGCGTGTTATGCATGCCTAAGGGTTACGGCTACACGGCCCACTTTGCATGTCAAAGGGCTGAGGCTTTAGCGCGGCCCGGACCCTAAATTAACATACAACGTGTATCCTGTCATTTTGTGTCGACATATCCGGGTGTTGAGAACTACTATTCCCAACATGCAACGGTACGATCAAAGCGCTAAGCTCTCGCGCCCGGTGGTTAAAATGTAGCAACGCCCCAAGAACGGTTATTTTGTTTCGAGGCCGGGAGCGATTTGCTCTTTCGCCCCTCC